GGGTAGGGTCTATGGGTCGTGTTCAATTCGGCGCTCTACGTGTGGTATGGCGTGCTGCACCAAGGCGGCTTACTGCCCATGCTGCTGTCGTCGTCGACGCCGTTCTGCGAGCACGTATCGCTAGCAAATGTGCACACGATCGTGATGTCCGGCACCTACATGCCCCCCCGCTTCGCTCTCAGTCCTCGTACGCCCCATGACAAGTGTGAGAGAGCTAAGGATCTTACCTATACTACGCATATAGATGCGATCGATATTGTGGACGCGCCGCTCGAGAACATGCGGGCACCGCTGGAAGCCATCGCTCAGTCACGTCCCCGGTACCCACGACGTTGCGAGAACTTGGCGTATCCTCTGAAATAGCGACGCGCGTGGCCGCACGGGGGCCGTGTTTGTGTACCCTGCGCCGTGGCGCGCCGACGTGGAAGCCATTGTGGCTTCGATTCCGCGCCTCGGTCTCGACACCACGGCGCCGCCAGGTAGCCGTGTCAACGACGATGTGTCACAGTTTTTTTCATGTCATTTTAGGCGTCTGTGGGCCGTTCGTAGCCATGGAGAGCTTGCCGACGCCCGCCTGGAACGTGGCCGAGTGGTCGTTGCACGTGCAGCACCTTGTGGTGCGTGACGAGCCATGAGGAGTCCAACATGTCGTCGAGGCGAGTAATGCACTTTTGGTTGGTATCAAGTCTTGTGGGCGCTGCATACGTACTGCCGTCGACAGCCCTTACCTTTGCAAAGTCAGTCGGGTTATCGGTCGTCCTGCAGCAGGAGGGCGTACTGGGCTCAGCCACGGGTGGGATCACGACGGGCCGTCGTCGGCTGCGTGGCTTGTGTACATATAGAAGTCCACGAAGACTTTCGGTGCGCATTATTGTGGCTGCATCCACGCCCGTGGCAACTGCTGGATTCTCGTCGAGATCCTCTTGGCGTTCAACAAGGTTCCACTCAGAAAAAAAGCAACCCAGCAGGTGCATCATGCTTTTCTTGCCGCGGGTTCGCTGCGTGTTCTGCCCACGCGCGGGCAAAGATCGCCTTTTGACGGCAATGGGTTGCCGACTCCCTTATGTTTTAGTAGTGTAGTCGTTCTTGCGAAACCCTAGTGTGCGGCCAACGAATCAATCGGATAACGCGGGAAAGATAGCGGGGGGTGAACGGTCGCCGACACATACTCTTAGTTCGGAGCGTATGCGAGCGAGCGATCCGATATGCTTCAGACTGCACTCGAGGTGGCGAGGTTGATTTCTTTAATTGGTGGGTCGCGCCAGACGTGGCTACTCCCCAGGACTGGTATGCAGTAGGATTCCATCGCGGGGCTACTCTGCTCTACATTACTGGTCGCATTCGGTCGAGGCGCGTCATTGAAGCGAGACTCGCACCGTCGTCCTTGACTGTCTCTAACGTCGCGTTGGCAATGATTATCTGTCACAGAGCAGCCACGGAGTCGCACTCCCCCGCCTCTTGATCGTTCCTTGGATTTTCCAGCGCCAAGTCTTTACGAGTTCCTAGTGTTGGACAACAGGGTCAAGCCCTCAAGGACACGGTTGTCGTTTACATGTGCACGAGCATGCTTGACCAGATGAGAGACTGATCCCTTTCACTCATGCCGTCCACTAATGGTGCAGTGAAGAGTAGTAAGTGCCATCTCGATGGCTACCAAGTGCAATGTCAGCCAACGGTTCCTACAATAAGATATCAGCCAACGCACTAGTCCCATCGTACGAAGCGGTTGAAAACCCATTGACAAATCGTGCACCTCTGTCGTCGGTGGTGCTGGCGCGGCGTCATCGGCCACTCCAAGGCTGGGAATGGCGCGTATCGTCCCACTAGTCATCCCCCTAGCGTCACAAGCATCGACGCGGCTGGTGCGGCACTCGGCGCGGGTGCGATGTGAGCAACGCAAGTGGTCTTCTTGAAGGCGCCCATCTGCTATCGCCGTGGCGCGTAGAACCGTCTACTGTACTGGACTAGAGAAAGGTCGTCATCGAGGATCACTTTTCATTTGCCTCCTCCGCCTTCGCATGACGCTTTGTATGTTTAACGGCTGCCCCAACGAGGCGCTGCCGGGCCCCGGCACGAAATGCGAGTTTCACAAGAACCGCAAGATGTGTGGCGTCCAAGGCTGCTCCAACCAGGTCTACGCTCGGAATCTCTGCGTGCGCCATGGCGGCCGCAAGGCCTGCCGCGTCCAAGGCTGCGTCAACACCGTGCGCGGTGGCGACCTCTGCTTGCACCACGGCGGGTCGTCGCCAAAGCGCTACTGCACCGTCCAAGGCTGCCTGCGCCAAGCCCACGCTCGCCAAAAGTGCGTTCGGCACGGCGGTGGCAACGTGTGCAAGGTGCCGGGTTGCCTCCAGTACGGCCGCGTCCTAGGCCTTTGTCACCGGCACAATAAGAGCCAGCAGCGCGACATGGAGGAGCTCTACACGAGCGACGAAATGATCGACCACTCGATTCTGTCGCTTCTCGTCGAGGAGATCCCGCGCATGGACCAGAGCGCGCCCGTGACGCCTGCAGCGTCGTCGTCGGTGTCACCGTCATCGTTATCCGAGCATGCTGCAAGCCCCTCGTCGTTGCTTGCACACGAGCTGGAGCCGCTGAACATCATCATTTGAGCTACGTCCGGGTCCTTTTTCAATTTTATTATGGTTTGTGTACAATATAGTCATGTGTTCTCGACGGGTGGTCATGGAAATGATGTGTGCCGATCGATGCTGAATAGGGCAATCCACGATAGCGACGTTGTTATCTTGGTTGCGTCTGGATCCACCGCTTGTCGACAAGACGCTACAGTTCTTTCAGGCTCGAGGCTCTTGCCAAACCGGACGGATTTGGAAGTCAAGTCGAGGATATCACACGCACGAGTGGATGGTGGACCACGACACATCATCATTGCGTTGCAAAGGCGGGACGATCTGTGACGACGACCTCCTCCCTTGCTGTGGCTCGACAGGAAGAGTGCGCTTGCGCTCTCGTGGGCCTACCCGTTGATCGTTTCGAGGGTTTCTACAAGTCCCGTCCTCGTCTTGCCGTGCCCACGACACTTATATTGCTGCCGAGTATTGACGCCCATGATGCGACCTCTGTCGTCAACCAACTCGCTTTTCGTCTCCGTGCTCACATTGGATGGTGACGAGTACACGCTCGATAGCTACAACTACTAGCACAACATACCCATCGGTATTAATAGTCCATGGTGCGAGACGCTCAAAAGCAAAGTTGTCGAAGGCGGCTGTCTGTTGACACTATCAACATCGCCGTGCCCGTCCAGGACGCCACCATGGGTGTCGAGACAGCAGGGGTACTGTACGGGGATCGTGCATGGTATCCCGTTGCACTCAAGTCGCTACCCTTTCTAGCTGTGCTGGACGCGTAGCACGATGATGGGGCGCATCGAGCCAGCGATGACGTAGTAAACGCACCTCGATGTTGCCTTTTACCTCTCGTCGCATCGCGGATCGCTGGCTCGATATGGCCCGTCGGCCTCACGCCATCATCGCTTCCACCAGCGACCGACCGGCTGTGCATATCGCGCAGATCGCATTGCAGTTTGGGCAGCTCCACACCAAGGAAATAGATCGATTTCTTCTTTTCTTGCTTCACACGGACGCTATGGTTTCTATGCATCTGGGGCGAGGGATAGGGTTACACTATTGTCGTGGAAGCGCGCTGGCACTCGAGTTCCTACTACCGTCCCACCGTACTGCCGCCAATGGATCTCTTCAGAATTAACACTTAAGACTATGTAATGAATAGAAATCATTCCTATGGTTATGGTCTTTCAACGAGACTATTACAAGAAGGCGGTCTCCCTTGTGTCCCTTGTGCTTGCAGTTGAAGTGGCCCGTTCTATTTGTTATAACACGCCATATTGCCGTTGGCATGCCGTATTCTAACAATATGGCCCTTTCCGTCGTACACTATTTATGGATCACGCCTTGTGGCCTCTTGGGGTTTGTATGCCAATACAACGAGCAAGTGGCGTGGCATTGCAAGCGCCGCATAATAGTGTTCGGATTGCGCCTCAAGAACGGGAAGATCTGGCAGACCGGTCTGCGACGACGACATCCACCATGGCCCAGCTCGTGCTCCTCGTGGCCGTGCTCCAGCTCGTGACGAGTGAACTCCACCAAAGCCTCTTGGCCGTGTGCACGGCCTGGGATGGCGTCACGTGCCCCTTTACGACAGCGGCGCCGCTCGCATCGCTCTGGGACCGCCGCTCGCAGACGCTGTGCAAGGTCGCGCGTCGCCCATCGTTCGCGTGCTGAGGCTGCGTTATTAGGCGTCCGTGGCCGTGAGCGTCAAGCAGATCGACTGGCAAAGCAACCTCATCACGGGCAAAGGCCTCGTGCGCAGCGTCCAAGTCAATGGCAACGAGCTACTGACGTCGCTCGTGTACCCGTCCGATGCGTACGTGGCGCCCAACTACCCGCACTGCGACGACTGGTACGACGTGCTCCCGCCCCACGGCAACTACATCTTGCCAGGGCGCGGCGGCCAGCGCTCGATCTTGCCCTTCATTACGAACGCGTCGGTGGCTTTTCAGATTGAGTTTGAGTGGACGGGCGACCACAGCCAGCGCCACGACTGCTCGTTTGGCGGCATCTCGTACGTGGGCTTGGCCCAAATGGACTTGTACTATGAAATCCAAGACGACAGCGGTACGTCCCGAAGCTGTGTCGACGTCGTCCTGATCCGAATCTTAGCCTGTCCGGGCTGGCACCCCAATACGCACTCGTGGTGCTCGGGCCATGGCCAATGCGACTGTGCGACGAGCGAGCATGCCAACCGCACCTGCACCTGCCAGTACGTTCGTATCCATCCTCGCGACGCGTGACGATGGATTCTAGGCCGGGGTACGCGCCGCCCGACTGTGCCAACTGCATGGACAACTTTTACGGCCGCGCGTGCACGCTCGAGTGTCTTCCATGCGAAAACGGAGGCGTTTGCAACGCCGGCCCGTCCGGCGACGGCGAGTGCACGTGTGCCCCGGGGTTCGACCCCGCCACGCGATGTGCGACGTGCCTGCCGTCGTTTTTTGGCCCGACGTGCGACCCGTGTCCGCACTGCCACCACCCACACGGCAACTGCAACGACGGGATCCGCGGCAACGGTCTCTGCTCGTGCGCGGTCGGCTTCAACGCATCGATCAACTGTGCCGACTGCATGGACTCGTTCTATGGTCCGAACTGCGTCCCGTGCGAGTCGTGCCATACGTCCGGGCGCTGCAACCACGGACGCGCCGGCGACGGGTCGTGCATCTGCTCGGAAGGCTTCTCAGCCGACTCGCGCTGTACGCAATGCTCCATCAACTATTTTGGCGCCAACTGCACGCGCTGCGAGAGCTGCCACGGCCGCGGCTACTGCAACGACACGCTTCTCGGCGACGGCAGCTGTTTATGCGACGAAGGCTACACGGCCAATTCGCGCTGCGTGCGCTGCAACGACGGCTGGGACTTCAACCCGACCACGATGAGCTGTCAGTGCGCGCCCGAACACTTTGGCCCGCACTGCCGGTCGTGCCCGATCTGCAAGCCCCACGGCCGCTGCAACGCGGGCAACGACGGCGACGGCCGGTGCATCTGCGACCCCGGGTGGTCGGCCTCGACCAACTGCGTCACGTGCATGGGCGGGTACTTTGGGCTCGACTGCCAAATGTGCCGGCGCTGCGGGAAAGGCCGATGCGACGACGCGCTCCACGGGTCGGGCCGCTGCGTCTGCCGCGAAGGCTGGAGCGCATCGTCCGACTGCTACAACTGCGCCGAGGGGTACTTTGGCGACAACTGCGCGCCGTGTCCCGAAGATTGTGGCCACGGCACATGCAGCAGCGGGCTCCTTGGATCAGGGGCGTGCTCGTGTCATCCTGGCTGGGCGTGGTCAGCAGTCGCGCCCTGCACGACGTGCCTGCCCGGGCACACACTCCCCAACTGCTATCTCTGCCCGGGCTACACCGAGAGCGGTCTGCCGTGCAACGGTCACGGCACGTGTGTGTCGGGCGACGGCGCGGCCGCGTGTGTCTGCGACGCGCGGTTTAGCGGCGCCGGCTGCGACGTCTACGACTTTCCGCTCGCGATGGTGTGTGCCATGGGCATGCTCGCGCTCTCGTCGCTCGGCTTTTGCATGTGCACGATGCGTCGGCTCGCTCGGCACCCGCGGTACCCGCCGTTGCACGCCGGCGGCTTGCATCGACGCTACTCGACGTTCACCGGCGCGTATGTGGAAATTTCCGACATGAGCGACTTGGAATTTTTCGTGTCGGCCGACTCGCGCGACTGGCTCATCCCGTTTGAAGCGCTGACGCTGCAGCGCGAGGTCGGCAACGGGACGTCCGGCCAAGTGTTCAAGTCGCTCTACCACAGCGGCGGCGGCAACTCGGTCGTTGCCGTCAAGCGCCTCTACAGCCCCGTGACGGGCCAAGAGTACTTTCAGAGCTTCTTTCGGCGCGAAGTGAGCATTTTGAGCAAGCTCCACCATCCAAACGTCGTGCGGTTTTACGGCGTGAGCTACTACAACCGGGTGCTGTACATTGTGACGGACTTTTGCCGCACGTCGTTATGCGCGCTGATTGAAAACCCCGCGTCCAGCGACCCGTTCGAGTCGGGGTTTCTGCTCAAAGTCATGGGCCAAATCACGGCCGGCATGGCGTTTCTGCACAGCCGCAACGTCGTTCACCGGTACCGCCTCTCATTGGCGTTGTCTGTAGTATCAACTTGATACTAGGGATCTCAAGCCCGCGAACGTGCTCTTGAACGACACGGACGACATCAACATTTGCGACTTTGGCCTCTCGCGGCTCATTGACCCGGAACAAACGTCTATGACCGCCGAGGTAGACCGCACATAGTGGGCGTCGACAGCAAATATGACAATATCGTAGGTGGGCACGCCAAGCTACATGGCCCCCGAGATGGCGACGATGGGCGCGACGCTCTGCTCGACCAAAGGCGACGTCTACTCGTACGGCATTCTCCTCTACTCGATGTGGTCTCGCAGCAAGCCGTATGGGGACCAGGGCATGAACCCGTTCCAGCTTGTACTATATTGTCGTGTTGTCCATGGTGGCTAAAGATGATGAAATAGATGACGGCGGTCGTCAGCGGCTTGCGACCGGTGATTCCCATCAACTGCCCACCGGGCCTCGCACGGCTCATGCGGCAGTGCTGGGACGCCAACCCGCTGAGCCGACCGAGCTTTCCGGAAATTAGCCTCCAACTCAAGGACCCGACGCTGCTCCAAAGCGTGCGCGTGCGACCAAGTCCGTCTTCTAATTAACAAAACACGTGTACTACCTTGTTGCAAGCGGCTCGTGTCTCCAAGTGCATGCGATCGGCCGTCGGGAAGCCGCTGCCACCAATGGATGTCCATCCAGAAATCCCACCACCCGTTGTGTGCTGGACGTTGTTGCCTCTAAAGGGGACGCCGAGCTCCTCTTCCAGTCGTCCTGTGTGCTACTACTTTGTCAAAGCTTTTGCTCGTGCCGCATTGCTAGCCATCGCACCGTCGACGTCGAACGTCGTGCAGTCGCCTTTGTCCGACCTTGGCGTCGTGGCAGCTGGTTGCTTGGCCCCTCGGGGTGTGTAGGGGCTGGGACTGTCGACGAGCTCACGATTCTGACGTGCCACACTGAGGACGCTCTGAGCGACCGGACATGGTGGCCTTCGAAGGCAGTAACGTGAGAACCGGGCCTGGGCCGACGAGGACGTCGACGATGGTATATTGAACCAGAGCTGCAAATCACGCCGCAACCTGTAGCGGTCTAGCACACCGACTGAGCAGATGTCGGAACAAGAAGATCGCGTCGTTCTTATCAACGAACCCAGCGAGGATCCCACCCACCGGTTGTTATCGTATACACAGCCTTCGATGCAGCCAAGCACGACCCCACGATCGCGTCGCACGCATGTCGACGGCTGCGTCTTGGTTGACAGAGTTGCAGCGGATCTCTTCCTAGTAGGAAGAGATGAGGTAGGAAGTTCCTACCTAACAAGTACTACAAGGGATTTCAGGACCGTACGATGCGGTCGTCGAGCGATGGATCGGCAGCATTCAGTGAATCCATCGGACCAAGCATGCAGTAGCGCTGGCCACAGAAAGGCGTCTCGGCGGCTATGCAAGTACGTCCCACACTTTCGCAAGACGACCGTCGCCAGGATCCGACGACGGGATGCTACTGCATGTGACCAACGCATTCAAGACAAGGCGACGCGCCAAGCGTCATTGACAACCGCACGTGGCTAGCGAAGGGAGCTTCGAGCCCATCTAATATTGGTGGCGTCATGCCAAGGCTAGTTGGTCGATCTGCAGTTGAACGCCAACCAGGCGACTCTCGAGAACTGACCCAGTACGTAATACATTGTACTGTAGAACCACTCGGTCACGAGGCGATATCTGGTCGGCGCGGGCATCCCAGCTGGCATTATTCTCTGTTTGTGGCGAGGAGCTTGTGGCCACCACTGCTCACTTGGCAATTCGCATCGACGATGAGCCTGTCGAGCTTCATTCGACTCAGCCGCCAAAAGCCGGAGATGCCCCGCCTCCAGATTGACGAAATGAACCTCGAAAGGTGCGCGACCACCTCGACTAACCTCGTAAATCTGGTGGCCGGCATTGCTAACAGCGAAGCTGTTGCACGCGCTCTCGGCGATGTTGCGGCGTGCCAAACAACTGCCACCTCGCTTCAGGGAGGTGTATATTTGTGCGTTTTGTCTGTGATCGTGCCCCAGTCCCATCTATTTTTATTGGTATCATGCAATTGTGTGTTCAACATTGGTTTTCGGTGTTCGACCGATTCATTTGTGTATTTTGCAACGCTCCTCGCATTGGAGCAATCTCCTTCAGAAGAGCGCGCAATCATGCATGTGCTGTGGCGAATCGCGGAGATTCAGATCTCCGAGTCAAGAAGGCAGAAATCTAGTCGACATCTTTTAGTCTAGCGGTATACATGTAGACACTGGTTTACCACCAGGTAGATCCGGGTTCAAGTCCCGGTGAGATCCCTACTTTCTGATTCTCCGCATCGATTGGCAACGTGTACATTCGAGTTCCGATTACATACCACGGGGCACGGGCGGGTTCGAGCGGTCGTCGTGCAAAACCCTCGAACCTCTTGCATGGCTCGACGGCGCCGCCAAAAATGTCGAGCTCCACGCGGCGTGCGGCCGTGCGCGCGAGCTCCACGACGAGACACTGGATCGAGTTGTACGAGAAGTCCGGGTGGGCGATGGAGATCTTCTTCAGCACCGGGAGCTTGCGCGAAAGCGGGAGCAAGTCGAGCGCGTTCGTGGACCGGAACATCGTAATTACGACTTCTTCCAGAAGCGGCAGGCGCGTCACGCACTCGACGAGGTGTTCCGGACTCAGCACCACGTCGACGCGGAGAGTGCCGAGGCGCGGCGCCAACGCAGCGATCACACGGACGGCCTTGCACACATCCTGGCGCCCGGCACGATATGTACCGGCGCACAGCGTCAGGTGGTTGAGATCCAGCAGTCGCGGAACGGTGTCCAGCAGCGGGACGAGCCACTGGACCGTGTTGAAGAGCGTGTCGTCAATGGTCAAGGTGCGCACCGTGCTCGGGATGCCCTGGCACACATAGCTCCATGTGTCCAGATCCATGGCGATACGCGCGAGCGACAAGCATTCGAGTCTCGACGCGATCTAAGCGTCGCCCAGCTGAGCGCCGACGTCGGGCGAAAAGACGGCGGGATCAAACGTTAGCGACGTCACCGAGGATGGGATACTGGTGTCTGGGACACCGACACCGACCACGGCCAGATGCAAGTTGAGATCCTCGCAGACGTCGTCGGTTCGAACCACAATCGTGGTCAGCGTTGGGCACTCTTGCAGCGCGTTGCTCAACGCAACGACGCGTCTTCCTGACACTGCGATGTTGTGAATTTGCAGGTGCGCCAAGCCAGACGATCCCATCTGCGTGCCATACGTGACGATAAAGCGGATGCGCGACGCCATCAGTTCGTCACTGCAAGTTTGCAGAGGTAGTGCTGTGCCGCCCGATAACGTCAGCGAGTGCACCGGCACTTGTTGCAGCGAGTCGAGCGTCCACTGGATTGCATGCTTCTGCGTGCTCAGTGATCGACACCTTGGGCTGTGCAACGCCAGGCACCGCCTGCCCACCGTACGCCTGACGGTAGACGGAGAGTGGTGCCGTCAGCACACACGGGTACATGCCGGGGTCCGCCGAGATCGGACCAAGACCAAGACAAGCCGAGCGCAAGCCGCCGGGGCTGGTGACGGCGATGGCCGTCGGGTAGCCGACAACCGCAGCGACGTCGCGCTCACAAAAGAGTGGGTGGTTGGCCTTCAAAACGGGCAGCGCCAAGCTGCTGCGTGGAGCGGCGGAACGCAGGTTCCGAAGTCCCTGCGTATACTCGCTTGCTTCGCCCAGCTCGGCGGCCATGAGGATCTCGTCGGCGCTAGCCAGGTATTGCATCACACGCTCCGTGACCTCACCAGGGATGCTCATCATAGGTGCTGGATATTTTGCAAATGCCAGAGACCCTTTACGAAAGCGGCTCTCATGTTGGTAAAGGGTCTTCAAGAATATGCGAGCCCCTTTGCGTGAGGATATAAATGGCACTTTTACATTTCAAACCGAGTCGATGCGATGGGCACTAAATGTAGCTCGACTACAAGCGTGAAAAAATGAAAAAATGAATTGCATTCGAGTAGCGCGGGAGCTGCCGAGGCATAACCGTGCAGCGACATATGAATATTATTCAACTGTCGCTGCGCGTTTGTCGACAAGGTCGGCAGCATATTGGTTGATCCAGCGTACGATCTTCTTGACGTCGGCCGCGACAAATCCCTTGCGCTGGACAAGCCACAAGCCCAACTCGCTCGGGGGTAGCTCAGTCATCCAGACGACAGCACGAACGCGCTGTTGTAGAGCGATTCATACTGCTAGATACGTTAGTGGGTCCCTGCAGGGGGTTAACCTTGGGAGGATCGCCAAGGCGTTCGATCCATGCGGCTTCAACCGCGGGCAACCATGCCGCGCCAGCTCGGCAGCGCGATGCCACACACCGACAGCGTCAACCACATGGACCCCGCAGAGGTCCACATTGTATTGCTGAGGACGATGTTGATGGCGCAGAGCCCGAACCGGCGATGCAAGGTAGTACGTTATCCGGTGGTGCGGTTCGTGCGTGGTTTTCTCTGTCCTTGCTTTCCACGAAAGGTGCAGTCCTTGGCAGTAGGCCGCGACGTCGGACTCTGAAGCACAAATTGAAGCTAGGTGCATAGTCGCGCTCGCATCTGATTCAAAATCGCGCCAAAATGATGCGCCGCCTCCAGCGCCATGGCGATGACTCCGGTCGATGAGCCGACGCTAGGGTACACTCGCACAACCGGTTGTAGTACTTGGCTCGGGAGGTCCTCGCGATTTCTGGCGCTCGTACCTGGTACTACTGCTACAATACAGTAAACGGAGGAAGAAATGTAAGGATTGCGTCCACCGTCCGAAATTCCGATAAAGTACGCTTTTCTGATCCTAATTTGAAAAGGCTGGATTGCAATGATCAGTTGGCGATTTGCTTCGTCCGGTGCACACAAAAACAGAGACGCCGATATGCCACGGAACGCCGTCTTGCGCGGGATCAAGCGACTCATGTACAAGAAGGACATTGCGGCAACAGAGGCCGACTACGGCGTCTCGATCCGTGAGGCCCACCAAGCCTACCGCGAGGCCATTGCCATCGCGCGCCACGAGCTCGAGAAAAACTTGGAGGCCGCCGCGCTTGCGATCGATAGCGTCATGCACCGACTCCGCGACACTGGCGACGAAGTGAGCACGCACCCCGACTTTATCGCTGCCCACGAACACATGAATGCGATCCGGCTCGCCGGTGCCAAGCGGCTGGCCGAGATTGACGACGAGTTGCAGGCGAGTCTCGAAGAGCTCAAGCGTTCGTATATGGAGAAGATGTCGTCGTGGACATAGCGTCCGAGTCGTCTTCATTATTGTCCCTCGTAAGTTTCAACACCGTCCATCTTTTGTCTGTTTCTCGCCGCCAGTCCAAGCTTCAAGCTTCTGCGCGGGCATGGGTGCGACGACCAGTCTTTGCAAGCGTTGATGGTCGATGTGACAGTGCGCTGCGGTTGCAAGCCGACGTCTACGACAGCTCTTGGGTGGTGCCAAGTGCAAGTAGGACTTTTGTCCGAATTGGACAGCTGCTAAAGCGCACTTTACCGAATGGAAGGCGTTGAAACTAGGATATTGGCCACGTGCTTGCTTGTCACAAAACGACCGTCGACTTTCTCACATCAACTTGTCGTGACCTTTGGCTAGCATTCCGATCCGCTCTCTTAGTCGATGCGTCGACTAGATAGTAGACGACGACTCGCTTGAGGAGCTCGTCTAGAGAGTCAATAATGGACTAATACCGAGTGACATTTGAATCGGTTTAGACGCGGAGCGAGCGCTCGCATCCAGAAAAATACATCAAGACGTAGCGGTTCGCAGATGCGACCTGGTGTATCCATCTTCTAATCACTCTACTAGAGCTACTATCTATTACTAGTATGACTACTAAATGAACGACGGCGGGCGATGCACCGATTGCATCAGCACGCGGTACTTGTATCGCGCTGATGACGATGGACGCTGGCGTGTCTGTCCTAGCCGAGACAGCGTGGGACGCGCACAATCTGCATCAATTTTGCGTCTTGGCCGAAGCGTGTGATTCGTAGCAGCCACGATGCGGCGGCTGCCAGAGTACCATCGAGGCTCTACGCCCGGCGAGTGTACCAGGCCACAACTTTCGAGGCCCTTGCTCTACCCTATGGAAGCGCTTTGCACACATTCAGACCGGGCATGGAACGCCCACGAAGCCGCTCGTTGCGCCGGAGGACCGTCTTTTTGGGTCACACGAGGCGTCGCATGCCACCGTGTCTTTTGCAACGCGGCGCAATCATCGACCACGACGCCTCGGTGCGAGACCGACTACAGTATGTACTGTACACACCCACTGGACGATAATTAGTAGGTATACGCACGCTTGATTCTAAACCGAAATGTCTCTCTAGTGGCGCCACGACGACGGAAGAAAGATCATATTGCCTCTCGGTAACTTGGAGTCTTGAAGTTATCGTTACTAGTAGTATGTACAAGGGACATAAATGACCCTTGGTATGCAGTGCACAACACGGTGCAATTGAGCCGTGTGTGGCGGAGACCACGTTGTGAAGACTGTTGCGCTGACTCTGGCTGCTTGATTTTCAAAATCAAGTGAGCCACCTCGGTTGATCGACGACGGAGCACGCAAGCCTGGACATGCGAGATATCACGACGCAATAATCTCAAAGAAGGTCGGTTCGCTACTACTGCAATGTACTCTAGAGCCCTGTCGATGGGACCATCGACGGCGTGTCAACATGCAAATTAGAGAGGTCTTCTTCTTGTATTAGCAAACCCATGGTCGGCTCAACTGCGTCCGGCCAGCTAACAACGGCGCCTTGTCGCTGCGGTGTTGCTTTTTTGGTTTCTTGAGCGCTTTCGGCGTCGGCATGCGTTCGTGTTTCTTGGCCAAGCGCGCCGACGGCAGCACGGTCACTTGCTCCTTCTTGACGCGCAGTGCGTCGAGCTTGGCGTGCACGGCTGACTCGGGCTTGTGTGTGATGACGACCTTCATGCGGCCTTGGTCGCCATGGAGCGCGTCGTCAAAAGTCGACGCGGCGGCGGCAGTTTGGAGCGAGCAGTTGCCGCGCAGTCGGTGTTCGTTGACAAAGTTTTGCAAGTCGGCTTCACGCACGCACTGTCGCGCACAGAGCTCCTTGAGCTCGACGTACTTGGCGTGCGTTTGCCGCCATTCGTGTTCCATGAGCTGCAGCTGCCGCTTCAATACCGCCGACGCCTCGGACGGGATGGGCGGCGATGACGACGACGACGATGGCAGCGAGAGTGATGGAAAGTCCTGCAGTACGTCTTCGAGGCGGACCTTGAGCGGTGATGGCGGCTGCGCGCACCACTCGTCCAGCGACTGTTTCCATGCGTGGATGGCCTCGAGGAGCGCCAGATGCGACGATGGTGGTTGATCCGTGTCTGGAGGCGTTTCACTCTCGGTTTGGCTCGCCTGGTCCGCAAGCCGTCGAGGAGGTGGTGGCACCGTGACGGCGGGCAACTCTGGAGCGGGTGGTGCTGCCGTAGACGCCACCGCGAGCGTCTGAATCTGGTGTTGAAGTGCTTCCATCTGGCTCGTCTGGCGTCCATGGTCCGCCACCAGCGACGCCATCCGGGCTTCGTACGTCTCGTTGGTTTCTTGGAGCTCGCGTGCGTGCGCGTCCTGCCGCTCCAGCGCGCCTTCGAGCGCGTGGCATCGGTGCTGTAGCGCACTGATTTGGCTCTCGAGCTCGCGTGTCTTGTCCTGCTCGTCGAGGAGCTGGCGCATCTTCTGCAGCGACCGCTTCTTCTCGTGTTCCAAAAGCGTCTCGAGCTCGAGGATGCGCTGCTGGTACGGCGTCTTGAGATGGGAGGCTCTGCTGCTGTACGACTTGGCGCTCGCGGACCGAGGCGAGAGCTGCTGTGGCCGCAGCGTCGATGCATACGACGACGATGGCGACCGCGCCTGGTCGAACCGGTCGACCGACTCGAGAAGCATGGGCACATGGGATGTTGCTGTCGATACGGCCATTGGCGGCGGCGATGGCGATGGCTTGGTCGGCGTCTGCGCGAGGATCCTCGCCGGACGGCA